TACTGTGACGGGGCCGGGGGGTGGTGGTGGTGCCGCGGCCGGGCTGGGCGCCGGGGTCGGGGGCCGGCGGCGGGTGCGACTGCCACGCCGGACCGGCCAGGAGGCCGTGATGTGATGTGGGGTCGCGGGCGCTCCGGGGACTTTGCCTCGTACCTGCTGCTACTGTGGCCGAGCAGCCGGGCAGTAACGTAGCAAGAGCGGGTTCGGTCGCCAAGGGTGAGTGCGGCTGCTGTGTGTGAAGTTAGTCGCCTTTCGTCAGGAGAGGGAAATTTGTTGCCTTAGCGTGGTAGGTGTGAGGAGAGGGGAGACGATATAAATGTCCCGTGGCTTTTACTTCAGCACGGGGGCGGGGTCACGTAAGGAATGGCGGCAATGAGACCTAAAAATGGAGTCTACTTGTAGCTAGAACTGAGTTGTCTGACGTGTTTACACGACTCGGTTTGCGCTCGGTTTTTTAAGGTTTGTTATTTTAGTTTCTTGACTTGGAAATGTTAGTGATATTTCTGTGTCTTGAAATGCTTTTCAGACGAAGGGTACATCGTCGTTTGGTAAACGACGAAATAAAACACACACCCTGTGTCGTCGATGTGGGTCCAAGGCGTACCATCTGCAAAAATCGACCTGCGGGAAATGTGGTTACCCTGCTAAGCGTAAGAGAAAGTGTAAGTCACAAACTTTTAACTGGCTCTAGTTTAAAAAAAACATGTTTCTTTTCCTTCAGTAGCTTGACTGAAGGAGAAAAATTGTTATTTTGAATTTTGGAGTTTTGTTCAAATTAATGATGATTTAACTGTATGGTAGGTAATATGCAGTATTACTGCATAGAAACTGACTTAAATGATCGTCAATTTTTTTTCTTTCTGGCAGCTTAAATAATTGTATAATAAAAATATAACATGCAACTAAAATTATTTGGTTCAGGTAAATAACAATAACTTACATATTTTAGATAACTGGAGTGCAAAGGCTAAAAGACGCAACACCACTGGTACCGGTCGCATGAGGCACCTGAAAAAGGTCTACCGTCGATTCAGGTATAACATTTTATTACACGCTTGCATGGCGTGAAACCCTGCATAGATACAACTTAATGACAAAATTCACCCTTCAAAGTTAACTTTTTTATTTTGTTCTAGTACCACTTAATGGGGGATGATTTATTACTTCATGACTTAAATATTATTTATGATTTCATTACTTAAATATGAAATAATGTGCTTTATATACTTACCTGCATTTTAGCCTCCTTTGAGGGTGAAAAAAAACTTACTTGTAAGACAAAGGGTGTGCAAAAAGTTGCAGTGTTTCTACTAAATGAAGGTAGTACCAGAGCACAGGTTGTTGTAATAAGAAGCCCACATCTAATAATGCTTTGTGTGGTATTGCATCTATTTGTGATTCAGTTAAGCAGATGATTGCACTGAGGTGGGGAGTTTTATAGAGGTAAGTCTCAAAATGCACTCCATTCCCCATTTGCTCACTCAGAAAAAAGTTCAGGACAGGAGTAACTTCTGATCCCTCTCTTTGTTTAGAGTTTAGTCAGCATTAAATGGGTAGTACATCAGATCCTGAGTTGCAAGTTTCTAAGACTTGTTACAAAGCGTTTGAGTTGTACTTGGGAGGTAATGGGGGTATTGTATGATTCCCATGGAACTCTGTAGTTTCTGTTCTACTACACAGAAAAGCTATATGACAAATACCGTGTAATTCAGGAGTGCTGTCATAAAAATGTAGATTGGCTTTATGAGCAAAAGGTAGGAGATTTTTAAGTCACAGTCTTGGATGTGGTTGAGGGATCAATTCATTTGTTTTGGTTAGCTCATTCTTTTCCAGTGGCAGCCATAAAACACCTTCCAGTGTGCAGCTGTAGTTTGCTTTCCACTGTGTTGCTCAAGTAAAGTGTCATGCAAAAGCAAGCTTAGGGCTGAAGAGTGTGGTTGGAGGCATAGAGGATTTTTGTAAGAAATAGGCTTCACTCACAGGACCTGTTTAGTTGAATTACTTTGCTTAGAGGGAATGTGAATTAAGATGTGATTTCAGCAGCTGAGCTGTATTTGCAGTGTTCACTCAAATAATGAAACCTTTCTGTTTCAAGAACTTTAGTTTACTTCAGTGTAAGAGAGTGAAAACCATACTGCTATTCAAGACAATTTTTAATAATGTGTTTCTTTATAGAAAGGTCTGAGTGGATGAACTTTGTAGCGATTTCAGTGCATTACTTAGATAAATTGAAAAAAGATAGTGAGCTTCATCTAAAACATGCCTGTCAGAAAATAACCTCGAGCAGGAATCAACTCAAAAAGTGGTAACCATATTTCTACTTGCAGGAATGGATTCCGTGAGGGAACCACACCGAAGCCCAAGAGAGCAGCTGTTGCAGCCTCCAGTTCATCTTAAAGACTCATCTGTTTGTTAAAATAAATGGTCTTATCCAGAAGATTTGTCACCTTTTTTTACATGTTTTACTTCACTGAAATGTAGTATTCATGAAAATACACAAATACTTACAAACACAAATTCTGAGCTGATCAATTTAAAACAATCCTTTAATTGGCTATTTGGTAGTACATCTGTCTTGAAAAGGATCCTAATCTGTGCACTGAACTGAAAAAGAGGCTTGTATGTATTACTCAGGAGGTCCCCTGCTAGAGCAGTGGAATATTGGTACTGTGGATTTGCCCTGTGTGCCTCTGATCTCAGTATGCTGTAGCATGGAGAGCCAGAATTTTGTTTAAAAGCTAGTAGCTACAATAATGGCTCTATGTGGTGTCTTGGGAGGCATTGGTGAAAGAGGGATTTCTAGTGCTTTTTTTCACTGCTCTGTGGTACTGAAAAGTCTACAAAGGTACTACTTAACTGTGTGGATCATTGCTTCATGGGAAAAAAGCAGCTCCCAAGCCTGGAGCACATGTGCTGCGGATACAGGCAGGTTGGAGACCTGTTCTGGGTGCAACAAAATCAGGCTTGAATGGCCTGATGAGGCCGGTGTGGAAAGCTGACACACAGATCTGAGTTAAGTGTTGGGTGTAAATAATTAAGTCAGCTGGCGTTACATAAAAACATAAATGCCTTATGAATTTGTACCCTACATTGTGTATTACTGGCATTTAGACTCATATTAAGAAGGAGATCATAAGGTGCTGCTATGAAAGTTTAGGGAATTGTAGTAATTACTGCATGAGTTTACAGGACTTTCAGATTGCCTTGCAGAGACAATACTAGAAACTGAAAAAACTTGTGATGCTTTAAGCTTTGGAGGCTGTGTATACTGCTCTCAGTTTTGTCATGAACTTCCAGAAGCAGAATATTGCTTTGTCACTACTGAATGATCAGCAGTTTATGTATTACCTTCTGCAAAATCACAAACTTTCAGCCAGGTGTGAAATTGGAGTTCACTTCCCTATGTTTTTAAATTGAGTTAGAGCTCTTGGATACTTAGTGTATCAACTTGGGTTGTTTCCAAACCAAAAGAAATAATTTGCTGCTGTTCTGTAGCAGTTAACAAATAGACTCTACTTGCTCTAGATACAACTGATCTGTTGGAGGAAGCTGCCATGTAAGTGGTAGTGATGCTCTTAAAATCCACTATGCACAGTACTGGCCATGTATTCCCAGGCCTAAGGAGTGCCTCTGAAATGTGGTTTTTGGTGATGTTTGGGAAACATGTAGGGAGGAAGTAATCATAAATGTGTTATTCTCTGAGAATAAACACAAGACTGTTAAAAAAACATGTCAGCAGAATTCTAAGGAAGGGCTTTTTAAGCAAAGGTACAGTTGGACAGTAGTATGGCAGGTATTCTGACTGGGTGGGAGGGAAAGCCTTTGCTTGCCAAGTCTTAGGTAATCTTTCTGTAGCATAGGATTCTGCTGTGAACAGCCTCTTTGACCTGCAGACATGATAAAACACTAAGGACAAGTGCTTAGCTACTTGTAGTTGTTACCTCTTAGCTTCTCATGAATTCTGCTCCATGGTAATAGTGATTGAAATTTGCAGTGACTTGAAGCAACTGAAACCCTGTATTTCAGGGAGAATTTTACTTGTAGCCAGAATGAATTTTATGGACCAGAATTTTGACAGCCATTTTCAACTGTTTTAAAATTCTTGGTGAGGAGCAGGAAATCAGTTTTTTGTGAGTTTTTTTGTCCTGTTCGGAAATGGTTGTGTACTTCATGTGTCAGTTATGTTTGCACTATACAGGAAATAGATTTTGATGCACTTCTGTTCTTTGTGGGGCATTGTTAAAAATTGAAAGGCTGCTTTGCTGGTTGCTAAGTGTATAATCATTTTGTTGAGATCTTGTTAAGCATTTTAATTCATAATGCTCACTGTATGCTTCATGTATACAGAATCATTGTCATACCCAGTCTGTCATGTGGTTTTTGTATCCCTAAGACTGATAGATGGTGTAGTTCAAATTACTTAAGAAATTACATTTCCTGTTGTTCAGTGTACAAGTCTCACTTCTTAGAAGTGTGTTGGATGAAAGTTGCTTAAAGGCAGAGGGGTATTCAGGTGACTACAGTGGTTAAAGATTGATTGCCTTTGGTAAAAGATCCTTGTGTGGTGAGGTATTACATCCCCAAATACCTCCCCCTACCCCCTCACCCCCACCAAAACTGCCCTTGAACTTATCAGAAACACTGTCCTAAGCAAGAAGGGTGACAAGAGATAGGAAGTCGTCCCCTGATAGCCTAGGAATGTTACTTGTCTGAAACATAGCCTGAGTGGAACAATATTATGGTTACGGACTTTTGAAAATTTCCAGTAATTACTGTCTTGGATTGTGGCCAAGATGGAAACTGGCTGAGGACTGAAGTCAGTCATCTTGCAACCCTATGAACAGTGGTCCTATGTGAGGCCATTTGAGCTCCCTGGCACAACAGCAGGCTACAGGAGTGTCTCCCTGCAGCAGAGTTCAACAATTCTTAGGTTGAAGGAGCTAGTGGATGGGACCCATTGCTCTCAGAGTGGGAGTGGAACAGAGCTGGCATATCTTGAAGTGTGCATTCCACAGGGAGCAAGAGCTCTCAATCCCCATCTGTAAAAAAACAGGAAAGGAAAGCCAACAGCATGGCTGAGTCAAGACCTGCTTGCCAAACTAAAGGGCAAGAAGGAAATAAAAAGGCAGGGAAGCAGGAAGAGGTATGCTGGAAAGAGCATGGGGGCATTGCTCAGTTGTGACAGGATAGGACTGGGAAGGTCAAGGTGTGCCTGAACCTGGCAAGGGATGCAAAGAAGAAGAAGGGCTTCTGTAGGCATGAGCCATAATGGAAGGTCAAAGTGTAACTTCCCCCACAGTGAACATGGCATCACTGACATAGTAGGGTTGAGTGCACCCTCAGAGAATTTTCAGGCAACACCTATCTGAGTGGTGCAGTTGACATGTCCAAGGGACAGGTTGCCATGCAGAAGGACATGGAAAAGATCAAACTGGCTCATGTGAATTTAAAGATGCTCAGCAAGGTCAAGTGTAAAATCCTGCACCCAGGTCAAGGCAAATCCCACCTAAGAGATGAAGGGATTGAAAGATGCTCTATGAAGGATTGAGGGTAATGTGCTCGAAAAAGTGCTTGAAAAGCTGGATGTGAGCCAGCAATGTGCACTTGCAGCCCAGAAACCAGAAAGCCAACCACATCCAGGGCTATATCCAGAGCACTGTGGCCAGCAGGTCAAGTGAGGTGATTCTGCCCCTCTGTCCTTCCATCTACAGAAAGACTTCAGACCACTGCATTCAGCTCTGGGGTCCCCTGAACATGAAATACATGGTCTTTGGTCCATGCTCTGAGAAGGGTCACAAAGAAGATTCAGGGGACTGCAGCACATCTCCTGTGAACCCAGAGAGTTGGGATTGTCCAGCCTGGAGAACAGGAGGCTTCAGGAAGCCATACAATACTAACACAAAACTTTGATGGAAGATGGGGACAGACCTATTAGTAGGGCCTGCAATTATAGGACAAGTTGCAATGGTTTTAAAGTAAAGGAGAGTATATTCAGGCAATGTAAGAGGAAGAAGTCTTTCTCTATGAGCCTGCTGAGACATTGGAACAGGATGCCCAGAGAAGCTATAATACTCCCAGCCCCCTGGGACTGTTTCATGAGAGATTGGACTGGTCTCTGAGCAACCTGATCTACTTGAAGATATCCTGGCTGATTTCAGGGCAGGTTGGATTAGAGGATCTTTACAGGTGCCTTCCAACCTAAACCATTCTGTGATTCAGTGATTTCTGCAGTGTCTTCAACTTAGAAGATAGAAACAGCGGAAGAGATATAAGCTCTGTAAACAGCTCTGGAGCTGGGCAAAACATACTTTTTTAATGGGGGGGGGGGGGGTGCTTGCAGAAGACATGTGCTGTACATTCAGGGGTAATGTAGAGTCAGAAGTCAAAGAGGAAAGGGCAAGAAGCATGTGCCTGTTTGCAAAGCACACCAATGATGCCAAGAAAGTCTTAACGCCAGCTGGTAGAAACAACCCACATTAACATTCCCCCTTTCATATTGTTAGTAAAACTGTTATCCCTTTTGTTTTCTTGTACTATCTAATTATTACATCATCTACCACTCCTGATCTGCTTGCTGGCCCTGAACCATACAGGGGCCTTATGGCATTGCAGTATCTGGGCAGACATGCTTTAGGAAAGCCTTGCTGTGTCCCTGAACCACAGCACTGGCTCCCTGTGTGTCACAAAGGGCACACATGCCAGGGCTCCACACTGGTGGCACTTGTAACACACTGGGGGTGTTCCCACAGAACAGCAGCTCTGTTTATGCTAGAATGCCCTGAGTCTTCCCACACATGGGAATAAGTTACTGAAAACATAGAAACAATTTAAAACAAATAATTTTGCAAGGGAAATTTGACAGCAATTTTCTGTCTCAAAATAAGATTATGGAGATAGTTGAAAGAAATCATTAAGTCAGCTTTCAGTTAATTTTTTGTTTTAAAATTATGTCTTAAAAGTAGAACCATGCTCTGTGTGAATAAACTATCAGAAAAAGTGGTTTTAAAGTAGTTCATGGGCTTTTCAAGATAGAATGTAATTGGGAGGTTGTCAGTCAGCTTAAAAGACTCATGGAGTAATTCCTTTGGTATATTTTGTTCCTACAGCTATTCTAAGAGGACAGCCTGCACCCCACACCCTAACAATACATTACTCAAAGATGCACTGTCAAAAAAGCTCAATCTTCTAATATGACTCGTACATGCAAAAGACAAGGAAGGAAGCAGTGCTGCTGATTAGTATTGTAAAGTGTTTATCATTGCCTTTCACAGAGGAAAGATCAAGTAGCTGTATAGGTTCATTTATGTACATGCTTATGCATAATATATGTATTATGCATAAGCATGTACATGTACACATGTGTACACATATACAAATATTAAAATATTAATCCATTGTGATCTTACTTTAAGGTTTGGCCTAGATTATGCTTGATTTGACTCAGCC